AGAAGTTGCCAGTATTAAACTGTGTACACCCTGGAGGTTTAGGGGATACGAAACACAGTGGTGTTATCAAATGTAAAACATATAATTAATAAATGGGTGAAATAATATACCCACATGACACCTAAGGTCAGAAGAGCTTTATTTAACAGCTGGTCTTATGTCTGTGACCCCTCCTGTTGTTAATTGATAAGCCTGAAACATGCACTTGTCAAGGTTCAGAGGCAAATTTTGCAAATATGGCAGTAGCCATCGATCATCTTAAGATAATATAAGATACTTTTATGATCCCAAGTTGGGAAATGTTTTGTTACAGCAGCATACTACTTTGTTCTACTCCACTACAATTCAGAGGTTAACCTGGTATTTTTACTCCACTACATGTATTTTAGTTACTTTGCAGATTCTGATTAATGATGTGAAATATAAACAACCCTTAAATAAGACTTTAGTTACACCTGAGTCAAATTCAGGGAAGGTGATTGTCAAGTGCCAAAATAAACTATGCAATATATTGGACGTTAAGTACTTTGTCAGACTTCATATGTATCTATGGATAACCCCAACGTTTATTTCTTATTCAAAAGAAGGCCTTAACTTAAATTAATCTTTAATGTTTAAATAAAGCCTAGTTGGTCTGTTTTGCACATCCTCCTGTTAATATCTTTGGATGTCCTGGATTAAACTGTTTTATTGTAGAGATCACTACAGCATCTTCTTGATATTTTTAATTTTGTATGTAGGCTACTCTTAATATTTAAATATTTTCATCAAATAAAACGTATTCAACAACAAAATTCAATAACGTGCTTTAACCACTAGGCGGCGCGGGCTAAAAAAACAGTGGTGTAGTTAATAGAACATAATAATATCAAAAATAATATGACTATTAACTTTATTGTGAAATTAAAACAGAACGGTAAAGGAAAGGACAGTTTCAGTCTCTCGACTTGAAGCTTATGCATTGTACCATGAACCTGTATAGACCTGTAACAGTGAACTGCATGAGGAGTTGGAAAGGTAATGAATTAATTAATGAATTAAAATGTCGAACTCGGACTTGATTTTAAGGACATTTCGGCCAGGGATTTAGAGCTATATTTGTTTAACCACCGGATTGGCAAAACAGGAGAGTGTGTGCACCAGTCTGCCTGGATCTATGTATTCATGTCTGTGACACTCAACAGTATCTGTGCCACAGCTGTTTTATAGAAGGAAAACCTCCTTCACTTCATGAAATCTCTGCAGCACCAGGAGGGCGCGGGAGGGTAACGTCAGCCTCTGAGAAGAGGAGCGCGCGCAGTGCCTTTCACGCACCGCCTTTCACGCACCGCCTTCCACTGTGTTTACCTTCCGAATCATTAGAAAAGGCTAAGAGCGACCGCAGGCTGGATGTGTTTTAACCCCACACACACCTCTACACCACACACACCACACACACACACACACACACACACCACTACACACCACACACACACACACACACACACACCACACAACACACAACACACACACACACACACACACACACACACACACACACACACAACCCACACACACACACACACACACACCCACACACACACACACACGCACGCACGCACACACACCCGATTAAACGCAGACTTCTGTTCCTGCATGTTTCGTTGTTACGGTTTCACTGAGCGGAACCCGCCCCCTTTTTTTTTCAAACGCTCCCCTTTTTTGGTCCATCTGCGGCGGGTAATAGGTTTTGTGCGCTTGTGATGATTCGGCTGTATAGTAATGAATATTAAATGTTCATTTGATCATTGGTTTTATTATGAAAACGTAGAGACCGGAAATACTGTTTTCAACCCGTAACTTTACATGGAGGCTGCCGCATACCTCAAATCATCTTCGTAATATCTATCAAACCATATATCCTACATATCGACTGGACGTGGATTCTAAAAGTACAATATACACTTCTTGCTAGAAATCTAATCAAAAAGCGTTTTAATGGCCAAACTATCCTACAATTTAGGATTTTACAGAGAGGGTTATTTGTGAATAAACGACCATCTGTAACGTTTGCATTCAACGGGAGCAGGACGTATTAAGCGCTTGAACAAACAACATATTTGGTCGTAATAATTGGCCCTGAACAATCGGCATATTTGGTCGTATGAGTTGGAGGACTTGTTGGTTGGAACATACACTTAATACGATCCCAGGTCTTATTATTTATGCAGAAAATATGCCCAAATGTCTCCTGCTGATACACACACACACACACACACACACACACACACACACACACACACACACACACACACACACACACACACACATACCATTTATACATCACTTCAGGGGACATTACATTGACTTACATGCATTTCCTGGAGACTTATCCTAACCTTAACCATAACCAACACATGCCTAACCCTAACCCTTACCCTAACCCTAACCCTAACCCTAAACCTAACCAAGTCTTCACCCTACAATTAATGATTCCCCTCATAGGGACCTCCATTTTGTCCCCATAAGGGAGGCGAGTCCCCACACGTGACTGTGTAGACAGATGTAGGTCCCCACAAGTATAGTAATGCTAGGCCACACACACACACACACACAAGAAAGTGAGAAACCACAATTTTCACATCATGCTATGACTAATTGTTTCCCCTGCCTGTCACCTCCCTCTGCTTCTACACTTCCCTCCGCCTCTCTCTTTCTTTCCTCCAACATTTCTCCTCTGTACTCCACTGCTCTTTGTACGGCTGCTAATAGAGGAGCAGTAAATAATAGCAATAATAGTAAATAATAGGTATGCTGTTGACTTCAGAGTGCAGTGAAGGAATCTCAGAGGGTGGTGGGAGCCACCGAAACAAAACAGGTTTGGAGGGGAGATGGAGGAAAGCAATGAAAGTAGTGTGGGAGGGTAGAGGGGGAGAGACAAGAAGGAGTGAGAGGGGACTCAGTGTGTAATAGTCACTTGGCCTGGCAGCTAGTCCATGAAGCCGTGAGGCTGTCAATCTGTCAAAATGCACCCAGTGTTGTCCTGACTCTCTCAAAACACACAAACACACACACACACACACACACACACACACACACACACACACACAACACACACACACACACACACACACACACACACATACATACACACACACACACACACACACACACACACACACACTCTCCTTCGCGCTGTGTCTTTGATGTGTGCCACAGGGTTCCTCAAAGCCAGTCTCAGCACAGTGTAATGGATGTGGCATTGTCACTTGATGCTCTCTCAGTGTGCGGTGGTTTGATTCCCTGCGATGTGGTTCACTTGGTTTTGCTAACCATGAAGACAAGTTATCCCAATGCTGCCACCAGATGTAGCACTGCCACACCAATAAAAAGAGCAGATGAGGTGGTTTTTACACCGGAAAACTTAAGAAAAGGGATGTTGAGTAGTGGAGAAAAAGTAATACAAAATTCTACAAACAAACACGCTTGTGTCATTTATGCACCTCAATTAATAAGAATAAATAAGAAAATACTGAACTGAAATTAATAATGAAGCAGAAACAGAATGGTATGCTCTATTTATTTTTGTTGTGATGGAGTTTTCCACATTTTAGATGAAATTGATGACTTGCTATATTCAATTACATTTCATTTAGCTGACACTTTTATTCAAAGCGACTTACAATAAGTGCATTCGACCAAGAAGATACAAACTTGAAGAACACAGAATAATATAAATACATTAGGTTTCATAGAGCCAAACATTTCAAGTGATACTCAACAGGCTTTAGATAAGCCAGTCCTTTGTTAGTATATAAGTGCTTTGTTAGTATCTTTTCATTTTATTGGTCAAAGTGGAGTCGAAAGAGATGAGTTTTCAGTCTGCGCCGGAAGGTGTGCAGGCTTTCTGCTGTCCTGATTTCAATGGGGAGCTCATTCCACCATTTTGGAGCCAGGATAGCAAACCGACGTGTTTTTGCTGATGGGAACTTGGGTCCCCCTCGCAGTGCAGGTGCAGCGAGCCGTTTGGTTGATGCAGAGCGGAGTGCACGTGCTGGGGTGTACGGTTCAACCATGTCCTGGATGTAGGAAGGGCCAGATCCATTCGCAGCATGGTAAGCAAGTACCATTGTCTTGAAGTGGATTCTAGCAGTTACCGGAAGCCAGTGAAGGGAGCGGAGGAGCGGCGTGGTGTGGGAGAATTTAGGAAGGTTGAAGACCAGGCGAGCTGCTGCATTCTGGGTGAGCTGCAGAGGTCGGATGGCACATGCAGGTAGACCAGCCAGGAGGGAGTTGCAGTAGTCTAGGCGTGAGATGACGAGAGCCTGGACCAGAACCTGAGTCGCTTTCTGAGTTAGCTGGGGACGTATCCTCCTGATGTTGTAAAGCGTGTATCTGCAGCAACGGGTTGTAGCAGCGATGTTTGCAGTGAAGGACAGGTTGTTATCTAGGGTCACACCCAGATTCCTTGCAGTCTGTGTCGGGGAAACAATAGAGGTGCCGATGTTGATTGTTAGGTCAAGAGTGGGACAATCTTTTCCCGGAAGAAAAAGCAGTTCAGTCTTGTCAAGGTTGAGCTTGAGGTGGTGAGCAGACATCCACTGAGAGATGTTCGCTAGACAAGCAGAGATGCGTGTGACGACCTGGGTCTCTGAGCGGGGAAAAGACAGAATTAATTGAGTGTCATCAGCGTATGGTACTGTATGGTTATAAAGTACCAGCTGCATCTTCCATGAGTATACAGGATCAAGCTCTACTTTTCCAATTCTTTACCATAGCAGCGAGATAGAAAGCTTTTTCAAGTCATTAAAACATTATCCTGTGTTTTATCATGATCCTTTATTTTCTGATCCCTTAAAGTCTGTTTAGATGTTTTTACTTATCAATTAAATTCCATTCAAAGGAGCTTTATTGGCATGAACCTATCAAAAACATAGCATTGCCAAAGCCTGCTGTACAAGGTGTTACAAACAACAAACACTAAACATCATCTCTCTGTCTCTCTCCTTCTCTCCTTCCAGGGACGGCATTTACACTCCTTCACAATGCTTGTCAGCCTCCACCCTTCTCCCTCCCGTCTTCAGGACAAGCACTTTGTCTCCCCCCCTTCCCTCCACCCCCCTCCCTCCTCACCCAGACCAGTCCTCTCATCATCCTTATCCCCAGCCTCGGCTGACCCTTCCCTTCCTCTCCTGGTCCTTCTCTCTGCTCCTCTTCTCCATTCTCCTGCTACCCGTCTGCGAGTCCCGCAGGGGTGGAGGTCCAGGTTCAGGGCCTGGAGGTGCCCAAGGGGGGGGAGGCGGCCAGAGGGGAGGCGGCACCCAGAGAGGGGTAGTCATTCCGCCTCAATACTCTCCAGCGATACCGGGTCTTCCGCCCATCAACCCCAAACTGATCAACTCTCTCAGCATAGCGGTCATCCTGGTGGGAAACTCTAGTGAAGTAACTCTGGGGGCGGGGCTTGAGAAAGAGGACTTCCTGCACATCCCTTACCCTCCCAAAGTGGAGGTGGTCACCATGAACGAGACCGACCCCAAGAGCATCATCAATCGGATCTGTGCTCAGATGACGAGGAACTCTCTGCAGGGCGTGGTGTTCGGTGACGACACGGACCAGGAGGCCATCGCTCAGATCCTCGACTTCATCTCGGCCCAGACACACATCCCCATCCTGGGCATCCGCGGGGGCTCCTCCATGGTCATGGCTGCCAAGGTAGGAAAACAAAAAACACTTAAATGTGATTGTGAACTGTTATGTTTGACCTAATATTTGGTCACGCTGCACAATTGATAACGCAGTGTAATGACGTCTCTTTATTTTTGTTATTTCTACATCCAGCAATAATTACAATATTGTTTCTGCGATGTGATTTTTACATCATATTATATTATTTTCACACCGTTTTAATCGAGACAGAAAAGCTTGTTTTATGGGTAACTCATTCATACAATGAATCATAACACTCATATTAAGGATATTTCTGGTTCATTAAAGTTGAGAGGCCAATTAAGAGAAAAAAGGAGAACTTTCTCTCTCTTTTTTAAGATTCATCAGCCTCCCACCACTCAGTGCTGCTTGTCATTCTAACCCAGGCTCTCTGCTGATTGATTTGGTGTTAATTAATCTGGGAGCCTGACGTCATATCGGAGCTCCTGACAGCGAGTCGACTTAACTCCAAAAGGAGTCGCAGCGGGAAACAAAAGAGTACATAACAAGTCAAAAAGCATCTCTGTGCGATCGGGATTCAAGAGATTTGGCACAAACCAGGAGGAGAATCTATGATCCAGAAATGGAACAATAGCTTTGAAACGTATCCTTTCAATAATGTTGCGTTAATACTGTAGGCTTAGCAATGTTTAAGTCCCCCACAGAAGAAAGACAGAAAAATGACACAATCCATTCAACGCTGAGGTTGTTTTTTTATTAGCTGTCTTTGTGAAAATGGGACATATCATGGAGATGCTCTATAGTTTGGTTTGAGTTATGTCTTCGGAAACATATTGTATGTTTAATTTTCAAGACATTTAGTTTAGTTCGATTGACATTCTTTCCTTTTTGAAGTACTTAGGTAAATTCAATCTTATTCATTCATGAATGTGATGATCTTTATCCAGAGCTTTCAGTACAGAATTTGTTGGCTGAACACTTAAAAAGAGTAGTACGTCTTTATTTTATTTAAAGCGAATCTTGACTAAAGATCTTTTGTCAAACATTTATTTCAGCAGATACTGGTGAAGAGTCAAACTGAGATATTTAACCGTGGAATTAAATAACTACAGCTATCTTATCTAAAAGTTAAATGACAGCAAATCAAGAAAGAGTAGTCATTTAGTTTAATAAAAAACGTTACTTAATACAAATTGATTAAATGCTGTTCAAGAAGAAGCAAAGTTCATAATGTTTGCTTTTGTTGGCATGTTTCACTGCTTGTTTTTCATTTGATTGAAAGTTGGAATTTTAGGAAAAAGGAAGTAGGCTACTGACTTCTGAAAAGAAGAAAAATGTGAATGACCTTTCATAAGATCCTTTCTTTGAATAATTGAAACACTGTGGAACAACCTGCTTGCATCTGTAAACATGTATTATATTACACGTGTTACGCTTTGTGTTGTCACGAGACATTATTTAATTATTGTATGAAGGCAATGCTCGGTAGAAACGTCATTATTGCACAGCAGTTCTTCCTTTAGAGAACCTGGTATGATTACATTTTGGGAAACCTTGCTGCATAAATCTGCATGATAACTACAAACTGATTTCTTGAAATGACTGTAGTCAAACCTTCACTTTAATATTATTTGTGTGTAATAATTGTCAGGTACAAACACATTTAGCAATCACAATATCCCATCACTGAATGCCCTAATTAGAAAAAGGGGGTTAAGTTTGATTACAGTAATTGCAGCCATTATGCTGGATAATAATAAACTTGCCTGAAAACAGAGTCAGGATCAGATTCAGAAGTCTTCTATTTGTCCCACGGCGGAAACATTTTACAAAAACAAAGGGAAAGTGCGGATGAAAGGCAAATACAACATATGAAGGCTAACCAATCAAATAGAGAAGGCAAACATGTTAATACAATCAAAGTAATACACAACTATGGTAAAAATAGCAAGAGCATAATAAAAGCAAGTGAACTAACAGCCAAAAAAAACAATAATAAATAGTATTCAGGATAAATATATATTAGCTGGAAAAGTGGCTCCTCTTGTTGCCTCACAGATACATATAAATCAAGGTGTCACTTAACTTTAATAAAGAAATAATCAAGAGAAAGAAATGTTCCCACATCATGACAGCGTGTAAAAGACACAGAAGAAAGCCGGCAGAGCCCTTTCTTCTTCTCTTCTATAAAAAGCTGTTGCACATGAAAACACAGTTGTGAACATGATGGTGGAGTTGATTGTAAAAGAACAATGGAGGGATGATACTGTCAAGATAAAGAAGGACAGAACAAGAGAATAAATAAGTAACAGTGAGAGAGAGAGGGGGGGGGGGGGGTTGATGGTTATAAAATACCACAACTTGTGTGGGTGTAAAGGAGGAAGAGGAATTTTGCTCAATATAGAATTACCACATTTTAGAGTTGACAGAGAGACCGAGGGCACACACTGAGTGTAACAGACATGTTAAAGCACGGCTGAAGGACACAGCACATACGAGAACAGGTGTGTGTGTGTGTGTGTGTGTGTGTGTGTGTGTGTGTGTGCGTGCGTGCGTGCGTGCGTGCGTGCGTGCGTGCGTGCGTGCGTGCGTGCGTGCGTGGGGAGGAGTTTCCTGCGTTAGACAGCATTTGATGACACTTGGGAAATCCCACTATGGTGGTAACTTCACAGTTCGCTGGACAAACTGGAAAATGCAGATTTTTTTATTTTTTTAAATGTAAATCATTGCAAGGTTTTATTGGGTTGCCCTGGTATTCAAGATTTGTGAAGGGGCATAAATAATGTTTTCAGATATCATGTGCCAACAGAGAAAATACATTATTCACTAATTTGTTGACTTATAAATCAGGCTGCAAAGAGACAATATTATTTATTGCTGGTAGTGAATAATACATACTGTTATCTTCTTCATTATGTACATGTCAATAGTATTGTACAGCAATTAATTACAACATGTAAAGGAGAAAATAATAAGATGTATGAGGGGAAGATGTTAATCAGAATTTAGATTCTCTCTCTCTAAATATTCTCTCTTCCCACTAATCTTCAAATAATAATGAATCTCAGGGAAACTTAAATGGAGGATAATTTACATTCGACCCCTTTAATGGTTTGTATCCTGTGGGAAACAGTCCTTTGACAGGCTGTGTGTAAAATGGGTCTTATAGCAGTGTAACACGAGTGTTACCTGGGTGTAAAATGGGTCTACTAGCAGTGTAATATGGTTGAATTAATAGTGTAACATGGGAGTAATAACAGAGTGATATGGGTGTTATACGGGTGTAACACTGCACAGTGTAATAGGGCTGTATTCATGTTTGATAAGAATGTAATGTAGAAAATAGCAATCAATAAATTTTCCAAAATATGTAATTATTAATGCCCATTTTAGAGTGACATTTTATCTTGAATGCCGAACATTTAAAACAATAGCCTGTACATACAAATGAGATGGTTAACATTTACTCACTGTAGCCTCAGAGAGCACAGTTCACTTGGCTCGTTTCCCTTTAAAACTTTTTTATTTTTGTACACACACACACACATACAACACACACACACACACACACATACACACACACACACACACACACACACACACACACACACACACACACACAAAACGCACGGTTGAATGCAGTGGACACAGTTGGCATGGCAACCACTTGCTTATATATTTCATAAGAAGCAGTTAGAGATGGGAGAGAGAAAAATAAATGATGATTTCTGAGTCGTACAAAAGCAGTTGTACAGGGTTTAACACTCGGTCCCAGAGGGGTGGGGTGAGGTTTTGAATAGATAATGAATAGATTAAAGCATAAAACAGAGGTGGAAACACAGGGGACAGAGATCAAAAATACGGTGGAGGAGAGGTGAAGTATATTTCACGGTGATGACGGAGTATTTTAATGTTTTATTTATAGCGTTTGAGTCTAAGTAAAACATCAAAACACAACAGAACCCTCCACCTGATATCCATTTAACCCTATCCAAGACAAATAAAGCAAATCAAAACAAAAATACAACTGAAACAGTTGTATTTTATTATGTAGTTGATTGTCTTATGTGCAGGAACGTTACACATTTTCAATTGTTCGACCCATAAAATAAGATAAAATCCCAAAAATTCAAGCTTTGTTTATTCTTTGAAAACTTCATCTTGGGCTGTGGGAAATTCAGAATTGAACGATTAACATTTATATTATTTATTTACAATACCCGTCTATGCTTTGATTGTTTTTTTGTTTGCTTCAGAGTCAAAATATGTCTTGGTGGACAAAAAATGTGTATTTTGTTCGACTCAATGGGCATGATTAGGGCTGTATTGAACAGTTTCAAGTGCTTCAGTTCATAACGTTAACATTCAAATCTGTATCATTGAAATGCAGTGCAGATTTTTTTTGCATGTCTATTAATTCTGTTTGATTTATTTTTGGGTAACTACTGTATATCATAAAATGTCAAGACAGGCATTTAAATGCTCATTTGTAAACTTCAATCAAAGCTTCAAATATAATAAAACAACAACCTACTGTAGGAATAAGGAAGATAAGGGCATGTAAAAGAGTGACAGACAGATGGAGAGCTGTGTGGATGAGGTGGAACATATAGAGCCATGGTAGTTGTGTGAACATGCTGTGTGTACATACTCCTCTAAAAGAGCACAAGAGTGATTTTCCAGCATCAATAACTCAATACCCTGTGTGTCGCCATGTTCGATCCTTATCAGTCCACAACTATGTCTAATATAATGCGCTCCAAATCTCCCAGAAGTCCTTTCTATGTATGGCGTGCCACTGGATCTCTTCATTTCTTATGACTGAGATTCCCATTAAGAACACCATTGAAGGCACTTGATCTTTAGACCACATTATTCAACACACTTCTCAGTGCAGATAGTGAGACCATATGAACCTGATGATACATCGCAGCACTCCTGGCTTTATTTTCCCTTTCAGCTCCCCATTATAATGAATCAGTGACAGATGCAGGTAGGCCCATTATGCACAAAACCATTTGTATGCTTCCATGTAGCCATTAATT